ACCCATAATAACCTACCTATACTAATAATTTAGGTGGTCAGTCTAATTAAAAAGTTACTAAATGGATCATCTTCTTCTACATCTATCTTCCTACTTTTTATTTTTCTTCTGAAGTTTTTTCATTCGTTTCTTTCTGTGTCTATAAATAATAAAAAAAACTAGTTGGCTTAAAATTGATCCAATAAAAAAAGCTTTCCTTAAATTAAATAACATAAAGTTTTATAAATCTTAATTATAAAAAAAATTCACTGTAGTTCAAATGAAAAAAATGTCAGTTTCATCTGGTATGAAAAATATTGTGGAATATAGGCATACGAGTTTTCAATTTTCTTATTTAATACAATATTATTTGAAATTTGTCACTTATTCTGACAAAACAAACAGTCAAGAAAGTTATTAAGTTGATTTTGTTCTAGCTGCCTTTGTCATTCTCTAAAGAAAACACCTGCTCTGCCCTTGGGATATATGGCTGTAATGCTGTACAATAGAAAAGGGTGTAGACAGCAGTGTAATACCCTGAGGCTACAACATTCCTTATGTTTGAATGAGAATGACCAGCCACGTGGATGATGGTAGTCACTTTGGGTAAATCTGACATTACTCCTGATGTAGGTAACATATGGTTTAAACCGTCTAGTAGATGATCTCAGCCAAGTCAGTCAGATAGAAGTTATCTCTGATCCAGTAAAAATAAACATTCATCATCAAACAAGTAGGTTACACACAGTGTTTGTATTACTGATATAATAAAGATTGTTCACTTGTGCATTCTATTGTATCCAGTCTCTTTATGTCATTTTCCCAAACCCAGTTTTTCAGAGAAATACAGAACTTTTCTAATAGATATCTTGTTGAATCTCCTGTTATTCATCTATCCCATCGCACTAATGAAAATCAGTTTGATCTGAAGATTACACAATATTAAAATCCGGGAAATTAAAATTAGAATTAGTTTGACATAGATTCACCCACTGTTGACATTTATTATTTTATGTATACATACCAGTTTGATTTAATTGAAACTATAATCCAAGCAGGCTTAACTTATTATATTAATGCTGCTTTACCATTTATAAGATATTACTGTTTACTTTGAAAATCTGTACCTAATAAAATATTAGGCTTGAAAAGTCTAATACTTATAATTATATTTTAACACATTTACTGATCACACTGCTGCACCACCAAAGTCTACATGTATAGATTTAAAATACAATCAACAACTGACTCACAAAATTATTAAATATTATTTTAATCTGATTAACCACTGAGATTGTGAAACAACATTCAGAATATACAGATCTTGATGTTTTAAACTAAACATTAAAATAGTAAATCATATCTATAATTTTAACCAGAAGATCTAAAGTGAGTTTAAAACAGGAGAGATCATTAATACAAAGAAATAATTATTCTATAACTTTATGTTGCATGTTGACCCAAAATTCTCCAGCTTCTCAACAATAGAGCATCAGTGAAAACATCACACTGGAGGGTAAAGGCTATTTTTAGAGATTTATACAAAAATTTAAATGAAAACTTGGGAATAATTATATGTAGACACACTTTTGTTGATGATAGGAAGCCAAAAAAATCTTATTGCCTGGAATACTCTGCTCAAGATACAAGTAAATTAAGCATATAAAAAAAACTAGTGGGGAAAGAGGCAGAGAAGAGGACCTACATCTTTAAATGTTTTCCTTATCGATAATAATACATCTTGAGCCAACAACAGAAAACTCAAGACTGACAACTTATTAGTAAAAATGTACACAAATGAAAGATATGAACATTAGTAAAAGCTTCAGAATACCCAAAAGGCTTCTCAAACAAAAGGTGAGCCAATGACAGCATAAAACAACCCCAAAAAATACCTTTAAGAAATGGCATGTTCCATTGTACTATAACATTACATAATGGGTAATGAGTTTGAGTTTCTCAAACAAGATTTCCTGAGTATAAAACATCACTGCATGATTCTCATTTTATTCTTTCACATAATAATAGCTGAAAATATATTACTGTATTTCATGTTGATCTAACAGACTTACTGGTGGGTAGTTCCTAACTTTAACCATTAAAACACTTATTGCTAAAATTCTTAAATTAAAACTTTACAACTGATTTAAGTTGGGTAAAAACTTGTATTTGGCATAACATTTAAAGACTGAAATTTAAACCATCATTCACATATGCATATAAATTTTGTAGTGATAAATGCTTTACTTCATAATTTTGAGGAAAATCATCTTGTTTACACAACAATTTGAAATTATTCAAGATTTTATCAAATGATTTGAGATAAATGGTTATACTAAAATTTTAAATGTAATGTATTACCAGTTTTAGAAAAACAATTTCAAAGTTACAAATAATGAACTTCCATTTTTCTTATAACAATTTCTGAAGATTTTTTCCAACAATCCCTTTGAAAGAAAATGTCAAAAACTAAATAACTTACGTGCTGAAACCAAGTTCTTTTTTGTAACACCATAAAACAGATGGCCTTGTTCGAACTGTTGCCTTAGACAACATGTGATGAATAATAACAACCTAAGAGAGATGAAAGTATGAATACAAGCTGCCATTCTTTCAGAACAAATCACACATACATTCATCTTTCCAAAAGACATTTTTTCTCTGTGAATCAAGTGAAGACAAAATCTAAGCCTGAATTACTAATGACTAACTTATAAAAAACTATTCTATTTCAGTTTTCATTCAGCATTCCAAAAATTCCTTGTAGAGCTGATATCACTGCTATAGTACAATGCTCAATTTGACAACTAACTCCAGGTCTTTAACCTTTTTATAACAGGCAGGAGGATTCCACCCAGCCTGTATCCCCCAAAGTAACCATATAGCACTAATAGTGTAACTTTTTAAAATGTACACATATCTTTACGAAATTTAGTAGATTATCAGTAAACATTACAAGGCAGTCATGTAAAAATCATCAGATTTTATAATTAAGTTTAAAGATTTTTAAAATTAATTATTTGCTCATGCACTTTTTCTTTTCGATTATCCAACATGCAAAGTAATTTTGATTTTAAGATTAAAAATACCTTTATGCATCAGAAAATTGTCAAATTTCACACGTGAAATCTATAACTTTCAGGTAATAATCAAATGTTTTTTGGAAAAAAAACTCTATTATTTCCACTATTGTATATCTGTATAGGTTTGGTCGATTTGACCAACCTCACAAACACCATAAAAAAATTAGGATATAGATATAAATTACTCTTTTTTTTTTATTCTAGAATGACTACAAATTATAAAATGAAACCACAAATGTTTAGTCTAAATAGCTTAAATCTCATAACATTATACATACATACATATATGTATTTATATAATTTGTATTTTATTGATCTTTCGGCAGTATCTGACTAATATTACAAAAGTTGCAATGACGTGGTACACGTATGCTTATGTTACTGTACCCAATAGTATAAAACTGGTCTTTAGAAAGTGACCTGTCCTGGCTTTGTTCTACAGTATTTTGTAAAATACAGTCACATTTCAGTTATAATACATTATATAAGTATATATTTTATTACTACTTATAAATAAGTAATTAAAGTTCAGAACAATAAATAAAGAAGTATAGAAAATAATGATCTCTTCTACTACAAACATTTCACTAATTTGCTACTTTCCATAATTTGCTAAGCCTTGTCAAATTTTGCACATGGAGGATGTAAAACAAATACTTTTTTAGGTTTTATATGTGCATTTTGAAATAACAAAAAATCATAAGTTATTATATCAATATCAAAGAATTATCCTATAATTTATCAGGCTCAGTAACTAAGCTGTATTTGGGCCTAAAAGAATATGATTTTTGAGCTCCATAATGTCTTACCTTACCGCTTTGATTCTACCATGAAAAGAAAGAGTTTCCCACATAAACACTTCACAGAGGCTGAGAAAACCATGTGAGAGACATTCTGAGGTTTTGATTGGTTATAGACATGTCATTGGGCAAAGCACATATTTCTAAAAATGGTGGGGTCACCTTGGTTGATTCGATAAATATATTAATATTTCAAAAAATAGAAAAGATAGGAGGTTCTTATATTCTAGCTTGTCAATATCAGTAATTTGAGTTTCTAATTCGTAAGAAACTATAGACTTTCTATTTGGACATCACAAACATTAAATTTGAACCAAAACTGCATTCAACATACCACATGTTTAGCATATTTTTTAAATATTTAATTTTAAATTAAGAAATTAACTAATACATAATACTAAAATTTGAATTATAATCTACAATTTGATACCAAACTTATTGACATACATTCATAAAATAGTAGTTCAATAAAATTTTGAATGCAAGTCTACAAAAATGATGACATGAGCATTGACCCCGGACCACAGGAAGACCTTTCTCAATAGGGTTAATTTGATTTGAGTATTGAAAATTACTGGGGATTTGGTCAATTTACCTGTATGGAATTTTTATTTCTTCTCATCTGATACTTATAATAACTATGCTTTAAATGTACACAACACAAAAGTACGTTCAATTTCTAGACTATGGCCTGTACTTAGGATAATTATTTTTGCCTAGAAATTTTTGAGTTGTAGAATAGTCTGCCTAATTTCGATTAATTGATTAGTCTGCATGACAATAAATCACTTAGCTCTACCAATGATAATGGTTAGTATTAAGCCTGGTATATTTTAAAGTGAAAATAAAACTACACAATAGTGTGTGACAGTTTAAATAAAATTCAAGTATTTAAAATGTAAGTAAAAGTTCAGTATTGCTTTGTTGACTTTTTAATCTTAGCTTACTTCAGAAGAAACCTGTGTGAATTATGTGTTTTTTGAAAGCTGTATAGCAGTTATTTGTGTTTTGTTATTTCACTCAATAATGTTCTTTGTAACCTTACCTTGTTTATGCCATTACCTATATACAGATAAATTTTGATATAATGTTTACTGGTGCTCAATATGTGATTTTTTTGTTACTAGTGACTGACATATAACTGAAAATTGTTCATTCACTGATTGAAGACTGTCAGATTATTTAATAAAACATTTTTATTTTGACCAATTTTTACCAGAATGTTCAACAGTATGTGATAAGAAAGATGTTCTGATTCTTCAAAAGAGGCCAAAATTAAATTATCAACAAAGCACTACAGAACTTTTGCTCACAATTTAAGTATTTGAATTTGAGAAAAAAAAAAAACCTTTAAAAATTTTGGAGCACCTAAACAGTGTTGTGTATTATCTAGGAAGCAGTTGAAACCATTGGAGTCGTTTTGTATAATATTATAGTAAAATTTTGTAACTTTATACCCATTAATAATGTATGAGGTCATGATATTTATTTTGCTGCTTACTAACAATGTAAAAATGTCACCTTTTCTGTAACCAGTCAGTAAGTTATCAGGTTCTCTTTCTTGGTCAGTTAAAATTGTTATTCTGCCCAAGAATTTATATAGGTGCAGTCTATAAAAGATTCACTTTAAATGTCATTACCAGGTATTTATAGTTTCTGTTGCCTTATGGGTTATGCCTAACTTTCTTTTACTTGTACAATAGCTTCTTCAAATATCATCACTTTGTTTGTCATAAAACAGAAGTGATGTTCTGCATTTCCAATTTACAAACAGCTCCATACTTCATTCCCACAAGTAATTTCATATACATTTTGTGACATTTTTTGCACATGTCTAGTTGTGTAGCACTGGTACAGGTTGTTTTCAACTGTTATTTCAAGATGTCTGTTATGTAAAAGTCAGATTTCATAATAAATATTGAAGTTAGTACTTCAGAGCTCTTGTTACCTGCACCACAGAAGGTGGATGGAGGTTATGTTTTCACCCCTTTTGTGTGTGTGTGTTTGTCATCAAAATTTCTCAAAAATGGTTGAATGGATTTTGATGAAAGTTGGTAAACATTTGGACTATGACCAAACTTAGAAGTGATCAATGTTTGGAAGATCAAGGTCACTAAAAAAAACCTATCTATTAACATGGGGAGTGATTTTTCACACTATGTTTGCACTAAAACTCAGTCAAAAATCAGATTTCGATGAAATTTGGTTGATATATATAGAAACTTATTTCTCATTGTCCTGCCAAATATGGTCTGTTGATAATGATGGACATACAGACACATTTTCATATTTTCTGAGAGCCGAATATGATCAACATAGCGAGCCAGAAGTATGCACTCCACTGAGTGCCACTCTAGTTTCATCAGGAAAATGTAGACAACCTGGGTACATAACTTTATATTTGTGTTAGAATTGTTTTTTATTACATTTATTTTAGTATTTCTTGAAATCCTGAATGAAATTCTCTCTGCAATGCTATTGCACAAGTCTATATGTGTAATATGGATATTGTTTCTCTGATATTAATGTTTTGCCTCAGTTAGATATATAAATATTGAAAATATTTGCTCTTTATACTATAAGTCTTTCTTCATCAGTTATTTTTCTGAGAACCAAAAACATTGTCACTGGAATCTTATTGTAACCAGAGATGACAGCAGGAGAGCCGGCAACCCATGTGAATGTGTTGTAATTGTATATACTCAGTCCTACAACATTTAGTGTCTTTTTAACTTTAAAGTTTAAGTTGTAGAACCGACTCTTGGTTCTTTTTCTACTATTTCTAAATCGTATGGCCACTACCTGACAAAAAATGAAGGAATACCACCCCACAATACTTAAGGTCAATTTCTAAATAATAAATTAAGCTTTGAGTTTCGATGATAGTATAGTCTAGCAATAGCATTGTACTTTGTCCACTGGTGAAATAAAAGTTGCACTGTAGTTATTAATTATTAATATTACTAGATCTTGGTGTACCTGTTTCACACCATGACGAATCATTTGAAATTTAGTTTTAACATGTTTTAAAACACAGGTAGTTTCCTCAGACACAACTTAAAATTCATACACATTATGGAGCAAGATTAAGCTTACCTGATCTCTACCTTTATCGCCAACGATTACAAACATCGATCGATGACCAAGCACCACACCATTTTCTATAAGCACTCGAATTCGGTTATCTATCTTCTTTCGAACCATGTTCACTATTTTACAAAATAAACACTCCAAGTTGCGTGAAACAAAATGATTCAAATAGATTTGTTAAATATACTGAATTTTATAAAATTCGGTTCTCACTTAGCACAATTCATTAAATAAAAACTATACACACTGACATATCAAATTTAACAAATACTTTTACTAAAACAAACCACATGCAATTCCTTCTTGCGTTTCAAAGACAACAGAGACCTCTCGTGTATAAAATAAAATTATACAAAGTTAATATATTAATCCAATATACTTTGTTATAAATGCAATTTTAGAAATACATGAAAAAACAAGCTTTGGTTTTCCTTACTCTAAGTAGGTAAATATACATACAACTGAAAATCATTTAACTATATATTTTTAAAAGAAAATGAGTGAATAAACAATGCTAAAAAGAGCGAAAATAATGTTTTCAATGTATTTTCTAACCTTGAGAAGCGAAATATCGTCGCCCTATTCTAAAAAACCACATTATCACACTTTTCAAAATTCAGAATACAAGCTTTAATCGTCTAGTAGCTTATTTGATTGTAAAAGCAAATTGAACATAATAATATTTCTTACTTGCTTCAAACACAATTACTTGAAACTTTATATAACATATATAGATATGTGGGTATTATGCACTAATGTTAAAGATAACTAATCACATCAATGTTTATTTGTTGTTGGTAAGCGCAAAGATACACAATGGGTTATCTGTGCTGTGCCTACCACGGGTATCGAAACCCAGTTTCTTGCGTTATAAACCTTCCGACTTGCCGCTGTGCCAGGGAGCTCACATGAATGACGGAAAATTATTTTTTAAAGTAGTGTGTTATCTTTAAATGTTATTTTGTAGTAGGGTCGCAAATTTTTTTTTTTTGTAAATATTTTTAAGCTGGCTTTAAAAATACACTGAATTGGTCTATTAGATGAATATTTACAATTCTTCTTCTTACTGGTTTAAATATTTGGTTGATGGTGAACATTATTATATTACTTTCATTCATTGAGGCAATTCTTCTCTCGAAAGCAAGAATAATGTTACGTATCTGCGTGTTTGTTAATTTCCGGTATAAATTCTTTCCGAGGAACTTCAGCGATACAAGTCCCTTCTTGATTAAAACATCGATACCAACTTTGTAATACACAGAATTTCCACAGGCAGAACGTTTATAAACTTAACAACCTTGATAACACACGCTATAAATCACAGCGATTCACAAGCTCGATAACTTCACTCTATGCGACTGCAAAACACATACAATTTACAGCTCAACGTTCGGTTGACTCAATTATCTATCTCTTCAATCGCGCTGATTTTTCTCGCCAGGCTTATATAATTAAAAAAGGGGGCATCTAGATCATACTCGAGCTGCCGGACAAATTCATGATTATTCAAGAAATTCCAGAGCGCATGCTCCCAGCGTCACGTGACTTCCGCTGTCATAACACTGCCCCTTCCTTAGTATTGTTTGTCCCGAACAATAGTCATTTATATTTAACCAATAGAGAATTAACAATAACTTAATTAAATGTACAGAATTTACAAACACAAAATTAAAATACAACAAAGTCTTTTAATTTTACAGGACGTTTCTTCTTTCGTACTGGTCTCTGTCTCATTGGCTTCTGCTTCACGTGGGGTTCATCTGCTCCATCAGAAAATGTCCCATTATTGGTAGCAGTCACATTAGTAGTAGTAACTTCAATAACCGCTTCACTTTTTCCTTCTCAAAACCGGGTAGAGTTTCTTCTTCGACAGTGGCTTTTTCAGGTGACACATCTTCAGCAGCATCATTTGTTCTGTTGTTCACTTTGTTCCAACTGAAATGACCTGCACTATGATAACGCCAAAGCCTGTTGGCATGCACCACTTTTGGCTTACCTCGCCGACCACATTTTATTCGGAAAGTCACGTCTTAGAGACGTTCCACTATGTCACATGGACCTTCCCATGGAGAAGACAACTTAGGAAACTTCCCTTTGGTCTTCCTGGGATTATACAACGACACCTTGGCTCCTGGTACAAAGCTGACTTCAGTAGATCTCTTATCATAACATAGCTTCATGGAAATAGCAGACGTTTTCAAGTTTGAACGCACTTGATGATGAATATTATCCATCCTTTCAGATAACGCTTTCACGAACTCGGGCACATTTTCAGGCAACTCTTCATAAGGTAAGCATCCTGTTTTCAGGTCCACTGGCAACCGAAGTTCTCAAACAAACATCAACTTTGCTGGAGTGTATCCAGTGGCTTCATG